TTGTATTTTACTGGAAATTAATTGAAGAAAGGCATACGTACGTCATCTGTTTTTTGTTTATAAACGTAGTGCATGATGGTGCATACTCGCACAGTGGGCTGTGAGTATTAAATGACTTAGGCCTAGAATTACCAATATTTTTAGCCTAATACTGACAGTTATTAGTCACCAAAATAATAGAATGATTGCTTAAAATAGCTAAATATACTCAATAAGCATTATATTTTAAATTAAATTGATGTTTAAAGTTTTACATGGTCCTTGAACAATTTTTCTTTTCTATTTGAGGTTTTCCTGGATTTCATTGGGTGACAAATCTATGTTTTCTCCATCTTCAGCTATATAAATACCAGTATCCTGTTTTTGAGTGATTTTCTACGATTTGGAGACAAAGAGTAATTTGAAGCTGAAGAACAAAGCAAAACATGTTTGTTTACTGATTTTACAAGAATAATCTTGTGAAGTAGTGGTTAGCCCTGACCTCAGGAGGTTGCAAACCAGGTTTTAATAAATTCCCAGTTGACCGTTTGTAACCAAACCTCTTTTGTTGCAATTAACACACCGCTGAAAACACAAGTATTAACTCAAATTTTTCATTACCATTTTATATGGTTGTATTTTAAAATTGAATTACGTGTGTTAGAGTAAATTGTATTTAAACATTCTATTACCTACAGTGCAGTTTTGTGTTCAGCTGATATACAGTAAATGAAAAGATTATTCCAAAATACTGTAATATATAAATACTGTACTTCATGTATCCGTAAAATTTTATTTCTGACTAATTGATGTCCTGATTTATGCACGCTATTTGCATAAACAACATTTATGATAGTAATGATAGTTTTAGACCAGGGGTGGATCCCTCCCCACTCCCCCACAAATTTAGCATTACATTTTTTAATTTCAGTACATACCAATGCCATATACAGTATATTGAAGTATGGTTTGAAAAATTATGTATCCACCCCTCTTTAGATAAGGTCTAGAAATCGAGATACAATAGTACCAAAATTTAATATTTAAATTTTAGTAAATGGCCAAATAGCATGTGTATAAATTAACGGTGTATCCCTTGAGATTACTATTCATTTGCTGTTGTACTAATTTAATGGACTGGAATCACTAAAGCACTCCCAATTAGAAACTCTGTGCATTGTCAGTTATACTACAATTATTTTGAATACACTTTAGTTTAATTTCCACTTATTGTAGTTCTCCTTGGCCAAAATACAACAATCTCATTAAATTATGTCATTGTCTGCAAATATTCACTAATTCTGAACAAGCAGGATTTCTTATGAATGTTTTTAACAATCCATGCTATATTAGACCATAATTAACTCTAATGTCGTTGGATGAGTTATAATAAACCATTGGTTCCAATATGATAGACATGTATACTGTGAAAAGAGAATGGATTGTCTCCCGATGTTCTGAGCTTCTCGGAATATTTGTATGTGCATTGTGTTGTTAAAAGTGATTTATTTTATACCTTGGCCTACTACTAAAGTAAGTAAGTAAGCAGTAAATCAAATTCAATCAATTATGTGTTCCATTTTGTTCTTATTTTAGGATGGTTTCAGGAACAAAGAGTCTTCACTAAAATGCTGATTCCTGAATCTCTGTCTGGTATCTGACTACATAAAATTTATTAGCTAATAAGCACTTGTATGAGCCCTCTGCACACACTGATATTATATCAAATGCAATGTAAAATAATAAGTGCAATCTTTAATACTACTATTGAAGTTTATAAGTCAGTCATGACACCAGCAAACAACCCAAGGGTGATATTTGACTTTAGCAAAATAAAAAATAAATATATTAAAAAACCTCCCTCTCCCATTACTTTTCCAGCCTAGATAAGGTGATAAAGCTAATAATTTTTTTATAGGGCCTAATACAACATAAACTTACTTTGTCCTTCAAAGAGATAAAACCAAACCAGTATATAATTTCTAAAGGCAAGGCAGGCTCCTGCTGTCATCACTAGCATTATTCCATTATTCCATATTGTCACTATTCCTACAAGAATACGCTGATGACATCGTAATTTTATCCTTGAGTTATTCTACTGTACTTATAGTTTCACTGCTGCGTACAACAGATCCATGGTAATTGTCATTTTCAATTAGCCTAACCAATTGGGATCGGCCATTACACTGGATAATCTTTTTGCGAAATCTATTTTTGAGGAATTTAATTTCAGGCGCAGTTCTTCCAGAAGTAAAATGCCAAAAACTCGTACAGGAAGTTTAGATTTATAAAAATCAAATGAAAATCTCCAGGGAAATATATGTTTGAATTGAAAGCTCAACTGGGATATCTTTTATTTTTACAGTAAATTGAAAGATTAAAATTGGAAATTATTTCTAAGATTACAAATGTCAGTGACTACCTCTCTCTTGAAAAATCTACCGAATTGTGTAAAGAATGCAGTAAACTTTGAAGAAAATATAATTTAACAATAAAACAACAATGGCTCCAATGATTATTAACCTTTGGCTCTGACATATTCATTCTTTTTTTTAGTTAAAAAAATGAAAATGTGCCATATAAAAGTGAAATAAAGAATAAGAATTTTTGCCACATTTTTGAAGCATTTTTCAGTTTCCATGGAAACAAATATCTTATCTTAGATTTCTTTGCTTTAGTCCATCCAATTTCTACAATTAAAATAGTGTACAATACATGATAAAAAATGTTCGAGTGGTTTACAGTATTTGCCCATTCCTTTTCAACATGAGGCGGTACTGCAACCCAAGCAGGACATTGGTAAGGTTGCATAGTCTTGTTCTCAAAAGGTAGGCTCAGTATTATATTAAACTAGAAATTGCAAATTGCAAGTGGAGTGCTGCGAAGTACAACTGCATATAAATGTTCTTCGAACAAAATTATTTATGCGAGTCAAGTGAAAATAATGAATAATAAAAATATAACAAATAATATGAGACACGACCCATTGTCTATATTAGAACACTTCTCATTGGGTAACAAAGTCGTAATTTTTAATTTTTGTCAAAAAGTGTCTATAGTGGTGAATTATGGGTTTAGGTTTTTTTTTAATAAAGTTTCAAAAATTTCTATGTATGTGGAAAATGTAGTTGATTACCAAAGGTTACAATTTTTATTTTGAAGACTGCATGGTTTAGTAAGTGTACATTTTTTTATAGGGCAAGTTTCCAAGGGCGGGTTTTTTAGGGGCGAGTTGACTGCCAAAGAGTGTTGCCAAAGTGCGAGCCAGCGTGTTATTTGATCACAAGCGCGAGACATCACAAGTGTGAGCCAGCGAGCCATGACGTCACGACAATAGATACGAGACGTTATGTGCGAGGTATCGGCTGAGATTTGTGGAGTACAATTCAAAAAACAACTATAGGTCTAATAATGAATTATTGTGATGTTAAATAGAAATGTTAGCTATCAAGGAGCGACGTTGTTTTTCATTGGGACCTTCGTCCCTTCAAGGCTAGGCCTATACCATCCTAGCTAGTCTAGGCATAGAGTAGGATAAGGCAAGCGCGACATGCGGACGTTGGTACGTGTTGGTTAGTCTACAAACCTCGCCTAAATAATTGATTTTACCCGGCAGAATGAAAGAAGGAAACTCCGCTTTTCAGTCGTTATTGCAGGGAAGTACAGTAGTTATGGTGGGCGGGGCCACCCAGCCTTGAAGTTTTTCACCCTGTGTAAAGCTAATTCCATGGCCTTCCACTCACCTTTGTTAACTACCTTGCCCATCCTTAAAATCTAGTCTTATTTTGAAAAATGTTATGACCTATGGTACCCCCTATAATATGTCTATCATCCCCGCTTATAGTTTTCTACAGCTACAACCTTGTTGATACATGATTATACAGACTTCTCAAATACTACGGAACTGCCGTAGTTGCTACGGAAATTATGACTATAACTGAAATAGAGAAATTACGGTACTATGGAAATTTATCATAGACATAAACCCATAAATAAATAAATTCCAGAACAAATGACTTCTTCATCAGGATCTATGGTTACATTGTCCCTAGATAATTCATAATTGTCAGATTACTGATGAAAAATGAAAGTACTTGTACATCATAAAATTAATGTAATTCCATGTATTATAGAATAATGCAGATACAGCTCTTTATGCTCATTCATCCATAAAGTGTAAAAGCTGATAAAGTAAATTGTCATATACAGTATTACAAGAACTATAACTAGTCTTCAACTATTGTCCTAATATTTTATGAACAAATTTGATAAGATTATTTATGAACTTGGTTGTAGAGACTCAAATCATATACTGTAGCTGTTAACTGTAATGTCGTGCTGGCCTATTAGTATCAGTTCATTCACAAACCTGTTGCACACATCCAAGGCTAACCTGGTGGACCCTCCTTGGCTGCAATAGGAAATGCTAGTTACTAGCTTGTCAATTCATATCTATGTTAACAAAGATGTGAAAATTCTTCCTTTAAAATTTTAGTGAAATACCTAATTTTTAGTATTATTTCACTTATTTGTATAAGGGTCTTTATTCCTTCATGGCTATGTAACAAAGCAATAATAATTTTAGTCTCACGACATGTACTTCTCCCATTTTTATTGACATTGATATTTATTGTATGATTTACCAGTGAAAATAAACAAATTTATGAACTTCATTAACTACTCTACTTTCAATGCACTTAGTGTTTTTAAAAAAGTATTTATAGTAATTTTTTTTTTTTCAAATCTTTATTTTACCAATCAAAGGCCATATAAAATTCAAAATACCAAAAGAACATTACAAATGCAGAAAATCGAAACATAGAGCATCATAAAAATTCAAAAATACTGTATACACTAAACCCTGAAAATTGTCATCCATTTTGAGTAAAGATTCCCACAAAATTTATAGATACTGAATACTTGGGGTTTTTTTATGTGTGTTTAAAGCAATGAAATCAATTCTTTATATTGTAACAATGGTAATAAGGAGATTATTAAAAAATGTTGTTTTAATTTTCCAGAATGGCTACAAAACCAGGTATTTGGCTTTGTCTTCCGGACAGCCTCATCCTCCACATCTTTACCTTCCTGTCATCCAGAGATCTGCAGAGGTGTGCACAAACCTGCAAATCCTGGCTACGGATCAGCCAAGATGAGTTGCTTTGGAAGCTCCTGTTGTACCGTGAGTGGAAGATCGATTCCTCCATCAAGCTAGCAAACAACCGGCGGTCATATCGCAGGGAATTCAAGCGACTTGCATTTCACACGCCCAAAGTGCAATACCAAGTGCTACGTGAACACACAGATCAAGTGTTGCACGTTAGCTTCTCACACAATGGCAAGATGTTCTCCTCCTGTTCTAAAGATGGTACCATCAAGGTAGTATTATTTTGAAGTAGTATTGAAGGATAGGAGTACTTAATTCATATTTGTGGATTCAGATCGCTCTGCTAATTGAATAACTGCGCATGAGGGTTAAGCGAGATAAGGGACAATGTATCTGTTACAGTATATGTTGGTAATGGCACTGCACTTTGGCTGCCGTCGGGTCCCCGGGGCCGGCCAAAATGTCCAATTTCATATATTTGGAATTGGACAAAAAAGGAAAATTCAATCTTTCATCTGTTTCCCTTTTCGTAAAGCCTCTGAATTGGGAAGATGAAAAAATTATTGTTATTTTATTGTTTTAACTTATTATACAGGTTTGGAGAACAGGTCCTCCGGCATCTATCCGCTACAGCCAAAGCATGAAAGAGCTCTTCCGCTGGCAGTATACACAGTTCTCACAGTTCAATGCCACAGACACACTCCTTCTTGTTTCAGGAGTTCACTTTGGACCCAACAGTACTTCTGGGGAAATAGCAGTTTTCAACATTAAAGGTATATTTTGAAATTACAATTATTACAATTATTTTTGGTTTTAGAACTTCCATTCGAGAATGTTTAATCCCCTTCAGCCAGATCTCTCATTTATCTTGCAACAGGGAGTGTAGGGTGCACTACACAGTGTTTGTTTCCCCTCTCCCCCCTAGGTACTCTTCTAGAAATTTGCTGTTACAAAAAAGTTCCACTCAAATAGTTATGGTTATTGTCATTCGCCTGTTAGTGTCCCTCCCCATCATTATCCTCATATTAGATATGCCACTGCCATTTTAGATGTAATAGGAAAAAATGATAGATATGTCTTGAGTAAAAGGAGAATCACACTGTAGGTTTTATCATAAATTGCAGAAAAGATCAATCTTAGGTAGATAGAAATCTTTCTTTATTCTGGATACTCACCTCAGTCTGTATTAGCTCACTTGTCTTCACAGAGGTCCAGGGTATGATCTTAAACTACATTAAATTACAAAAACAAAATTGAAAGAAAAATGTATATATAAATATATAAAAATTACATAGAAAATACAAGAAACAGAAAAGAAAAACAAATGGGTAAATTAAATGAGATTTTTAAAGTATTGTAAGGAAAGAGAATGAATATTGCTACAAATATCTGATGATAGATTGTTCCATAATCTTGATAAGATGTTCCTAAATACTATATTGTCTTTTTGTTCTTACCAGAAAGCTAGGTATAAAATCAATTGACAATTTGATTGCAAATAACCAGGATAAATGTAGTCCATTCGTATGTCACGCTGTACTAGCATGGAAAATGAAATTTTTATTTATTATACACCTCCCAAAAAGCAAGAGAGTTCCTTTTCCGGCATTTACAAAAACAACATTTCTTGGGAAAGGCACCGTTCTGCTTGTCCGACCCTCATTTTCCTTCTTTTAAAATCTACATTTTGGATCAAAATTTACCAATACTTGTGTAAACAGCAGTTTTTCTATTTATTTGCTAATGGGTGGGTTACTTGTTGTGTATGAGTCAAGGCTTCTTGTCTTTGCTAATGAGGTTATGTTTGGCATTTGGCCAGGTACATCCTGATGCAGGCATTTAACAATTCAACTTGTTCTCAAATATGACTCACCTCATTAATTGCTCTCATGCAAAGTTTTTTTCTGGATTTAACTAAAATATAAATTACAAATATTTACAATCTTAAAGAAAAAAACATGTGACATCAATTTTGAATCTGTAAAATGGATGCTAATTTTATCTTATCAAAATTTATGACTTTATTCCAAATGTTAACCTTAATCTGTATATCTTAATGTTGTATTATAATTACACCTTTTTAATTTATAAGAACACTGAGGCTGAAATTGCTTAAAATTTAAGAACAAAATAAGAACAAATTGAGGCTGAGGTAAAATATGTCAAATGAGGTTTTTATTAACCCTCTGGATACCGGATTCTTTTGTAGTGCAAACCCTTGAATACCGGATTCTTTTGCAGTGTAACAAGGTTTTTTGCTTTTTTTGAGTATACGTCGTTCTGGTGGATTTTTGGGAACTTTCTGTAAATTATACAGAAAAATGTTTCAAAAACAAAGAAAGCTTATAGAATAAGCTTTCATTTGATGTATAATTTATATTTTTGGGAATTTTTTTTCATAATATAATATAATATAATATAATATAATATAATATAATATAGTATATATATAATATAATAGAAATGACAGAAAAATGCTACATATAAATCGTCAGCAAAAACCGAAAAAAAAAATAAATTATAGCCAAAAAAAAATAAAAACAAATATAAAACATTCCTATTCCACACAGTTATATAATTTATTTACCCAACCATCCATAACTATAAGCGCGATCTTTCCATTCAAAAGCATCGACTACCCTCACATCATCTTCATCAAGAATATCTCCGCCGTCAGAACTGTTTGAAGCCCCACCGTCATCATCGCTAACAGGCACGTCTAAGTCTCTCGCACATCTAAAAATTCACCTTCATCGCTGTCTGAATCAAAAATCAGGTCAATCGCTTGCTCAGCTGTGTACACATCTTGTG